TTTTTTTTTTTTTATTGATTGATTGATTGATTGATTGATTGGTGTGGAAGGGGTCGCCCTTCCCCACCAATCAAGCACTCACACACACACACACACACGAAAAATTAAAATTTCCTTTTTTATTACGTTTTTTTTAATTAAAATACGTAATTTTTTGTTTTCTATTTTTTTTAAATAAGAAAACACTTGTAAAAAAACAACAAAAATCACCGTGTTGTAGGTCTCTTCAAACCCTAGAACCCCATATTTTTTATTTGTTTTTGGTCTATTATTGTTTTTTTTTTAAATGTTTGAAATTCTCGGCCTCACCAACCTCAGGGGCCGACCTCAGCGGTCCGGATTCCGACCGCTGGCCGAGATTGACCCCGCAGTCATGACCGCGGGGGATACATAGACGGTGGGTATACTCGCAGTTAGACCTTTCGCACGACGCAATTGGAGTGAGTATAATGTGGGTGTGGACGCAATTACATCCGGATACATAAAGAAAAGTCGTTGTGTGGGTAAGCCCTCATGATGATGAATGGGGCAAAAGTATAAAAAAAAAATCAAATCGGCCACCTTGCCCACACTGCGTAGTCGTTGTGGTTCTGAAGCCTTTGCCTCCATGCCCTTTCCCTCCATGCCAGCGCCCTTGTTGTGCACAAATGCCTGCGTTGAACATAAGGTGGCGCGATGAGATAACTCTCTCTCTCTCTCTCTCTCTCTCTCTCTCTCTCTCTCTCTCTCTCTCTCTCTCTCTCGCTCGCTTGCTCGCTCGGTCGTTCATTTCAGTCGGGGTAGTAGAACTATCAACGTCATTCACTAAATGCACGGGGTGGTAGTAGCCACCCCGCAACGAGCAAGAAACAAGGGAATAAGGGAACCTAGACTAGGAAAAACGGAAAAGAAAAGAAAAACATAAACAAGCGGAAGCGAACTTTCGGAAGGGGCGAACGTAGAGGACAAAGTGGCAGAAGCAGGGGGCGACACACACACACACACACATAAAATAATTAAATAAATAAATAAACAATAATAATAAACAAAAACTTATCTGGTAGTGTATATATCCATGTTCTAGCGGTAGATTCATTCGATTTGGCTAATCCTATCGATGGAAATAGCATGAGGCCAGTCGCAGCGTTGGAGACTGACCTGTTGTTCATTGCTTTGCTCATCCTATCGATGAAAAACTCTCTCTCTCTCTCTCTCTCTCTCTCTCTCTCTCTCTCTCTTGTATGCTCACAAGCGCTATTCATGATTGTGCGCACTCAGGGGTTTCATTCGGGGCAGTACAACTGTCGACTTCACTCGACGAATGCACGGGCTGGTACTTTCCTTCCCGCCACCACAACGCGCATGTCTTGTCTGACCACTTGCTCTTAGTTCATGCCAGTGCATGATTGCAGGAATGATCTAATGTATTGGTCTTTGATGTTGGGCAATCGTTTCTTTGTTGCATGATGGTATGGATATGTATGTAACGGTTGGATCTCGCTTGGAATGATGATGTTTGCATAAGGATAATAATTGCATGCATACGGGATAGACCGACGCACGGACAGAAGCGCCTATCACCAACTTATCCGCGCGACAAGATAAGAAATGTGTGCAATTGAAGTCCATTGAGTAGGATATAGTTGTGGAAACTCCCTTTTGGGTCACCG